GGGTGGGTGGGAGGATAGTGGAGCAGAATTAGGATATCGAGACTCCCCAAACAGGACACCAAGAATTGGAGCATTTGTTTGCAGAAATACTTGAAGAGTTGATACAATTTATTGTAGTTTGCTTATGTCTTTCACTCTCTGGAACATCTTTTACAGATATACCAGTATACTGCTGGCAGCTATTGTTAAAATAAAATTATATTTTCACTACCAAGCAGATTTTTCTCTTATTTCTGAAGACTACAGTTCTTGTATGTGTAAGCCTTGGCTTGAATGTAGAGTGCTAAACTACAGAGCAGAGCTCTGTAGTACTTGTCCTCATTTCTGGCCCTCTGGTTTGCTTTTTCTTTTCAGTGGTGTTGTGATTTAAAGCAGACTACGTGTTGTTTCTAATGTTACAACTCTGTTGTGCCCCTCAACAAAGTTAAGAACTTTCTTAAAGTTAAGAATGAGTTGAGAAATGACTTCTACAGAAATCAGGGTAAGTTTTGGTTTTTTTTCAGGTTTTAAGTGGAAAGTCTTAGGAACACAAACTTTGATAGCTTGTTTTCCTGTGGAATACTAGGTTTTCAGAGGTAAAATTGATTAAAAAGACATGAAAAAAATTCTCATGTTTGGGTCAGCTTGTTTCCACCCAGAGAATCCACTAAAAATTCACTAAAATTTCAAGAGTTGAGACTGAACGGATGCTGTCTGCAGGATTCCTGGATTTCAGAGTCAATGCTCCTACACATTCTGAGTTCAGCTCTTTCCTTACTGCCTCTTACTCTCAAATGTGTCTCAACTAGCCATGGTAAACACCATCCACCCTTGCCTCTAACGAGCCTGCTAACTAGGTACTAGGTTTTCAGAGCAAAGACCACCAGCCACTAGAGGAAGTTCTGAAGAAAGCTTCCGAAGTATTATCGTGTCAATCTCTCATCTGTCCTGAATGTTTGAGGTGTATCTGGGGTCTGAGTTTTGTTTTTGAAAGGAAATTTGTGGAATCCAGACGATATTCCTGGAGCCTGTAATCTTGGATGCCATCATCTGTGCAGGAAAGTAACAGATGTGCTTCTAGTAGCAGCAAAGCCAGCAAAGTAAACCCTTGGTAGGATTATATTTACATACATCCCTGTGTTATGTTACTGGGGGGTTTTGTGTTCAGATTTGGTGTCACTTTGTTGGGGATTGGTCACGTGAAATGTAACAGTGGACCAGAAGGTAACGTAACACCCTCTTCATGTGGAGGGAGCATGGGAAAAGGGCTGAGCTGTGAAGATGATGCTTGTCCTGCATGGCAGCTGCAAAAATCTCAGTATTTTGTACAGTTATGGTTTGCTGCAAG